TGGCAACATTCAACCAACAACGCGCACTCAAAATAAATACTGTCATACCTTTCACTTAGTACACGTATTATACTTTCCTGGGTCCTACCAGACAAGCACAGTTTCTTGTGCAATACAATTCCTGACAGTCAGAGTGTATCCAGGAGTCAGGAGCGAAAATATATCATCTGGCAGTTCTATTTCCAGTCCTATTGTGTGCTCTCAAGCCTTCCTTTTGATCTCTCTCCTCTTGACATTCATCTGTTTCTCCAATTAAGGATCTGTTTCTACAATAAGCCTGCCCCAGACAGTCAGCTCTCATGCAAGGATGGTAGGTTCTGTCACACTCTTCATGATTATTGAAGAGCATTCAGCTCTCAGGAACCTATTATTTGAAGGCAAACAGGAACAGTTCTGTGCTTTGAATTTGTTCGTCGCATCCCTCTATCATACAGAACCACAGAGGTGAGGAAAGCAACACCGTTACTCAGTTTTATCTGGATCCTGGTTGGGCAGGAAAGTAAAAGACTCTGAGACCTGGTGGGATCTTCCTCTGCAAGGAAGGAAGAATTTCACACACTTGTTCTGCTTCTTTGGCTCCAAAGAAAGGAACACGTCTGAAAAGCAACAGAGCTTCCTGTATGAGACAGACTACTGATAAGGGACTCTCCACTAGGTAACTCTTCCTCATTTTACACTTGCTACTTCCAGTATTGGTAGGAAAGGCTTGAAAATTTACCAACTCAATGAACAGTCTACTACCATTTCATTATCCCAAAAATCTTTAACTAGTAGAAACTCTTCTGCCACAAAAGAGAAAGAATTAAACTCTCCAGATTTGGAGAAGAGGTGGAAAGGAAGCTTTTTCTCTGTAACAAAAGAAGAGACTTTTTGCTCATCATTCCTTTACTTAAAAGAGAACTAGTATTTAGATGGCAGTTGTAATACAGTAATACAATTTATTGACCAACAAATCAGGAAAAAAGTCTAACTACTCTACTGCAAAGGCAAAAGACTACCTCAGAATTACACAGAATCTAGTAAAATAGTGCTATGTGGATCCTATAGTCAACTGAGCAAGATCATGAGAAATAATGACGGCTTGCCCTTCTTAATTAGGGGGAGATGGGACTGTTGCATAGATTCCAAAAGGAGGCAAATTGATGACTACAGTCCTTGTTCCAGACTACAGTACTTAGCTAAGAAGCACCAATCAGCAAATAATTTTTACAGGAAATTACGTGGGGAATAGACAAAGTGTTTGGAATGAAATCCTAGAAGGAAAGCAAACTTTCTGAGATGCACAGAATTTGTTTTGTTTGTTCTTAAACTCTGCACAAGAGTCTTACACATTCATCAACGAGGACATCAAAGGTTAATCTACTGCATGTAAGCATAGGCACTGACAAAATCCTCCCTCCTCCATTTTTAGCTCTGCCTAAGAAAGTCAGTCAGCAGCTACATCTACACAGCTTCACGTTATGTTTTACAGCAGTATTGCAACCAATAGTTTTTTTCCTACAATATAAGTATTTTCAAATACTTTTAATATATTTGATCTCTTTTCCAGTCTAAAAGACTTGCCAGCAGTTTACTGTGGAGGAGAAAAGGATGGTTAACCCAAAGGAGCACTCACTTTCTTGACAGCTTTAGGTTTAGGCACATATTGCTTGACCCTACAGCTCAATTTCAGTTGCTTAAAAGCAGGCTTATGCAGAAGGACATGGCCAAAAATGATCCAGGAATCAAAGGGCCCTCACTCTAATATACTTTGTTTCAATATCTAGTACTGCTAAGGAAAATAAACTAGAGGAGTCCATCTCCAAAGGTCTTCCATGGCGTCTATAAATTCAGTAGATGGGCCCACCCGAAAACTTTAATAAATTACCTCGTTTGCTGAAAAAAAATCCTCACCCCCCCCATTCTTTAAGCAATACTACATCTATTTCTCACCAAGAGTTTTTATCCCTCTCCCTTTTTTTAAAAAAAAAAATAATTACAAAGTAACAGGAAAAGAATTTAATTATTTCACAATGCAGCCTTTTCATAAACATACAATTATGTTCATTTCATGAGAATTTATCTTCACTGTGAAATCAATCGTCACAGTCTCCATTTACTATACATTACCAAGTCACATTTGATTCCTGTCAGAGAACTGTTGACTTCTGCAGTAAATCAAAATGACAGATACTGTTAGTTTCCTTCTGCATCTATCCCCAAGTCTCAGCTAGCTCAAGATGGTTTTTCCTTCTATGCACTGAAATGAGCATTTTCCTGGTAACTATATTTCAGAACTGGAAAGGTTTTCATACATGGAAAAAATGCAGTGCATAATCCAGGAAACTATTGAAATGTACAGTATCAGAAACATATGGCTGTAGCAAATACCTATGCAGTGAGGGGCGAGGAATGAAAAAGAGAACAAGCTTATTAAATTTTTCCTCCTAACGGGATTTTGCTTGAAAATTAAAATACTTTAATTGAACATAAAGAAAGTTTGCATAGCCAATGAAAAAAAAAAATGCTGGAGATTATGGGAAAAAGAGATATAGAATAATCTCCATGCTGTCATGGAAGCTGGAACAGATGATTTTGCCTTTGTTCTTTAATGATCTACATCTTAAATAGCAAAATGGTTCCATAACCAGAACACTCAGTGGGCAAACTCAGAAACAGAAAGCTGAGTTCTTTCTCAACTGCTAGGGCTTTTTTTAATTAAAAAAAAACCAAAACAACAACAACAAAAAAACCTCAGCCTGAAACGAAGTTAATTTTCATATGAATTTTGAAAAGCAAGTCATATTCATACACACATTCAGAAATCAACGCAGTAGCATAAGGTAAAACAACAATGAGACTCCTTATTTCAACAGATCTTTACTGATTCCCTGTTTCAGTTTCTGTAAGGATCTGGGCCAGGGAACAAAGTCCCAAGTCGAGGGCCAGGTCACTTCACGCGAGCCCCAATATCCCTGCTTCTGCTGACACAAACTATGAATTTAGGATTTCCACTTTAGTGCAAGTGATATTAAACTTGTTTTGACCAATATGTGCCAGCAGGCAGATTTTTAGAAATATCAAAAATCAGCTCTTTTATAGTAACAGAGGAATTGACGCTGTAAGAAGAATTCAATAAATATTTTTTCAAGAACAAGTTCTGCCTCTTTTTAAGGTGGAAGACTGTCCTCACAAACAGCCTCTCCCAAGGCAAAGTCTTTTTGCCGTCTTATCACTGTACTGTCAAGTCTTAACATGCCCGTATAGGTGTAAGGATGTTTTTAGAGCAGCTTGCGGATGCTGGAGGGTCCACTCGCAGCCCAGATGGGCTGGGTTACTACAGACATGGCAAACATTTCAGACATCTGATTTTGAAATCCTTGCCGTCCACTGCGTGTGTGATTCAGTGAAAATGTGAATGTGCAGCTATATAACACCCAAATAAATCCCTAACTTGCCAATGGAAATGCATGCTTCTCTTGGATTTTCACAGCAGTTCAGTGAGTAATATTTAAGATGATGAGAATATTCAAAGCCATTGGCCAAAACAAAGGAGAAACAATGAGCTAAAATTAACAGATTTCTCATGGAAGCAACTTAATATGTACAGCTGATATTAAGCCACCAGGATAAAGTTATCTTTCTTGACTGATGTACATGGAATGTTGGGACAATTCACACGTATCTAGAGCAGAATAATCAGAATTACATTAATTTCCAGCATTTGAAGATCATTTATATTTTTAAAAACATGAAAAGTTTTTCAAAGCTTTTTTCTGTGCTCCAGAAATGCAAAGGGTCAAGCGCTTGAAATCTTATTCCCAGCAAGTATGTGTGCAACATACTTTTAAAGGGCATCTCCTGGCAGACAATGTCCACATGTAGGCTAGCTGAGATGTCAGCAGATGTAGGCAAGGCCTTCCTGGGTAGTTCAGAGCGAGACTCACATTGCGTCCTCATGTTTCTGGGGCCAGCAGAAACTTGACAGCCCAGAAATCCTGTGCTTTGCTTTTGCTTTGCAGGAGGGAGGGGCATTCTTTGCTTCTGAAGGGACTATTTCTGGCCAGTTCAGGAGTAACAACAGCTGGCTCTGCAGGGAGCCTCATCCAGCCCTCATCATCTTGAACAACATCTGAATGTATTGCCAAGCTTTGGCAACGCAACGGGAGAGCGAGTGTGAAGGGACTCAGCAGAAGAGAAGAAGAAAACAAGGGCATCTATCCATGCTACCACTACAATTAATTTTACTTATTTTCCTGAAAAAGAACTTACAGAAATTGCACCTTATCTGCTGAAATGCAATTCCACTGAGACAGCTGCAAGTGCAACTCTCCTCTTCAGTAAAAAAAAAAAAAAAATAAAAATTTACAGGTCACTTGTATGTCTTTAAGTGTTGTCATGTTTCCTTGACTTATTTGTGCACAGTAATCTGAACTGGCTATGCATCAGCAGTATGCCAGAGTACCCACACAACTTAAATCAGAGCATAGGGTCTGAAAGGAAAAGTATAAGGCAAACACTACAAAGCAAAGATTCTAATTAATTAGGGAGGCAGAGGGATCTCATTTGTTCGCCATTCAGAAGTATTGAAACCCAAACAAACAATAGACCGACTCCCAAGATTACAGACAGGCAAGATTTTCCACTGGAGAAAGTGAAAAGCAATGACGCTTTTGTGATTTACACCAGTTGAATCTGGTCACAAGGTACAGAAGTCATGAATGTTTTGGTAAGCCTACGTGATTGCCAAACAAAACAAAAATAGGATCAGGAGATGATTATTCAGCCATACAGGAAAACTAGATGACTAATCATGGAGCTGTTTCACCCCGTGAGTGGCTAGGAGGACACTAACCTTTCATCCCACAGTTATGCAACAGCAAAGAAGGAGATAAATCAAGAGTATCAAGATCTTTGTCCGCTCAATATAGTGGCAATACCAGAACTGCACTCCTAGTTATTAAAATGCTAAGCTAGATACAGTTTTATAGAAGTATTTGCAAAATAGCACATTTTCTTACCTCTGCTCTGTGTTAAACAATGCAAAGATATGTTTGCTAGACATAAAGCTCTTCTCAACATCTCGCACTTTCAAGTTGTCCAAAGGAAGCATATACTTCTTCTCTTTCTCCTAGAAAAAAAAAAAGATTAAAATACCATGTGAGAAGTCTCAAAGAAGCCTGGTCTCAGCAAGCTCTGTTTTGTTGGTAATACCTTCAGTGCATTTGTTATCATAAGGCAATACTCAAAATTGAAATCTTATTCCCAGCATCTTTCACAGACATATCTGCAAGAGAAACCTCAATTCCAGTTCTGTTTTTCACTGATTTAAAATATTTCCTAATAAAATTCCATCTCAAACGCATAAGAATCTACATTTATTCTTCTTCAGACTTAACTAAAACGGAAGTACCAAATCAATACAGAACTCTTTTACCATGTCTGTGTAGCAACTGGAGTAACCTGTGCCATAAAATTAATCTCTATCTAGAATGACTATTATGAATTATTTAGAGGTGGCATTTGAAGATCCGAGGGATAAATTTTCATTCCTTCAGTGGAAAACACAAAAATCATACAAATCAATCGAAATCATACCAACATCAATGTTTTACATACACCATACACAGAAAAACCCCAGACTCTAATCTAACCAGCTCGTTT